CATCAGAGGATAACATTAGAAATTGACTTATGTTTTCTTTTTTTTTTCTACAGTGTCCTGTCTGGCAATGTGGCAATAAGACAAATGGAGCAGTGCGGCTATCGCCATAGTGTTCTGCTTGATTTATGCATATAAATAGCTTTATTATAATTCATGCAGGGAGTATTACAGATGATATGGACACTGAAATGTAATTAGAACAGGAAAGGAAAAAAAACAGGAAAAGGGAGAAAAGATGAAAGGAAAGAGGAGATAAAAGGGAGACAATGATAAAAAAAAAGAAAATGACCAATGTTTTCAGTGTAGGGGCCACAAGTGGGGCCAAAACGGGTTGTGTCGGGACTCCTTGGAAGGAGTCATGGTTGCATTCCTCACTGAAAGCTGTCCCAGACCATCACACCACCACCACCATGTTTGACAGCTGGTGTAAAATATATATGATATGCTGTTAGATTTCAGTTTGTAGTTCCTCCAAAGTCAGATATCATCTTTGAGAAACATTTTCAAAATTAAATAATTTTGATTTCTAATATTTAAGCATGGCGGACGGGGGGGGGGTTACCATTGCTAATGAAACTACTCTGTTTTCAGCCAGTTGCTTTGTTTGCTGCAGATTATAGTCCAGTTTAAATACAACTCAAGAGTCTGAAGTTCAGAGTCCAAGAGATGGTTTACCTCACATCATATTTAAAGCATTTAAACAGCAACCTATGCCTATAGCCATGTCTGTTGGTACAGCAAACAGCTGTCAGATGATTTGCGAGAAAAAACTTTGGAAGTAGCCCTAACTGACAGATTTATTCTACTTTTATTAAATCACTGAAATATCACTTAGATTAAAATCAGAAGTGTTTAATGAATTAAATGCAGACTGTTTTTTTTTTAGGTTTCCATCAACAATGTGGCTTATGGTGCCACCTGCTTACCAGAGCATTGGATCAACCAATAGGCTGAAGCAGTGCTCACGGATTAGTGGACCGAGATCCGGACCCAACCGGATCTGATTTAAAACATTAATAAATTACTGCATGGCAATGTCTCATTTCACTTGCATTGCTTCTCCTGTTTGTACTGTAAAGTCCTCCGGGACCAGGCTGCACATGATCCTAATCAGCCAATGAGCTGCTGTCAGTCCGGGTTGCTGCTGCTGCTACTTTTAGACACAGCAGGCAAACCTGTGGCAAGCCGGGCGATGGAAAAGGAGAAGACGATGAGAAAAAGAGAGCAGAGAAAGTGTGGACTGATGAAAGAGGTGCAATGAATTAGTGAAAGAAAAGTGAAATGGTGCTCAAAGATGATCCTGCAGATTTAGAGGATGTTTGGTTCAACCTGCTGCTGTGAAGCAGGATTCTCCACCATGAACAGAATCAGAAATAAATATGGATCCAGACCTTGAGCACCTTGATATGTGCTTTAGAATGGCTTTGTCTCCATTCAAACCAGGTTTAAATCCTTGCAGGGCAGCATAAAGCCCACTGCGAACATTAAGACAGAAAAAAGAAAGAAAGAAAAATAAATGGTCAGTTCAGGTGTTTTATAAAATATGTGAATCAGGAAATTGTCTATATACCAAACTGAACAATTAACGTTCTCTATTTTTTTTTAAAAAAAAACCTACATAACACATAGCCCAATGTGTCCACAATGTATAACATGGATGCATAAAAAACTCATTTTATTTCAGTGTTAAATTCTGTTTAGTGTAACGTATTATAATTAAAAATGTCTCCGGACCTTTACTGGTTATTTTCTTTATTCGGACCCCGTTGATTTTTAATTGGTTACCCCTGGGCTAAAGGATGATGTATATACTGTATTGGTTATATGTTTTTCTCCTTAGGTTATGACTAGATGTAGGTCACCTTTTTTATCCCGTTAGTCCTGATATTCATGCTCTGTTTCAATATTATAACAACTTAAGGTTGGTTTGGTTCATCACCTTCCACCAATAGAGTCACCTTTTTATATGAAGAACAAGGTTTTTAAAGGAAATTATGTCCAAAAGAGGCGGTAGGTTTTTTTTTTGAGTGAGGCTGATGTGCCTGTCCTCCACTAAGAGGATTATCTCACACAGCTTGTAACGGTGAGAGAACAACAAGCAGCCAGGGGCATAATAAACCTCAAATCTGGATTGAATCATCAGGCCGCTGGAGCAAGCCAGCATGGTTATAAGAGCAGGGAGAGAATGGAGAAACCATAGAAACTGTCACACTCCTGCACCATGTGACCAAAGTGTCAGCACCTGAACCTGTGAGAAGGTCAGGCTCAGACATGAGCTGCCGGGGAGGGCAACACTCATGGAAATACTTTTTTCCTTCTAACTCAGTATAGCAACAAGCACCAACTTTAATATGTTTCGACTCTACATGACGAACAAAAAGAAGTCCAAAATGGTGCAATTTAAAGATTTTTTTATCTTTTGTAATTTTTTTTAAATTTCTTTTTAAAGTGTGACTTGATTTGTTATCCAGCTCCTTCTATCAATATAGTGTAAAAAAAAAACAACCTTTGGCATCATAGCTGCAAGTTGGAACCAGAATCAGAGCCTGCTTTATTTAAATAATTTATGCTCACAAACAAGGAATATAAGGACATTTTAAATATATAAACATGAAAAAAGTAGAGTTTTCATTTTTTATATTAATGTTGCACCAATACCGATGCCAGTATTGCAAAAGTATTGCGGGATCTCGCAAAAGTTTATTTTTTCCCTCCATGTCCCTTTAGGGGCTCCGTAAGTTTAGCACCGTCCCTTTAGTGGCACCAAGTTAGAAAATGATCTAACTTCCTGCACACCTTCACAATAAAAGTCTTGGGCGTGTTTAACATGTCCTTAATTGTAAACAAGTTTGTTTAAATGTTGATTGTTTGTTGATTGCGATACGATCATGATGATATTACAAAAAGCAAAGATATACTTTTTAACTGCGCATATTCATTTGCACACAGCAATCTTAATATAAAGTTATTACCTTTGTGAAAGTGTAGAAAATCAGAGCATTTAGTTTTGTGCTGATAAAGTGAAATTCAGATTAAATCTCAATTTTTTTTAAATCTCAATAAAAACATGGATGTCACATCAAGACATTTAAGTTTTACATTTCTGCAGTCTCATGGCCGTTGCTTTGTTTGTAGAGATTTTAATTTTCTTAAAGGACTTTATGTGGATTTACTTCTTCATACCCCCTTTCAAACAATTTAAATTAATCAATGTCATTTCTCTGGTTTTATATACTGACAAGTCTATCTGGTGGAGGGTTTGTTTCTATTTATCTTCAGGTGAATTTAGACAATTTGGAAATTGGTGTTTGCTTTGGTTGATGTTGACTAGTTTGTTTGGTTTTGTTAAAGATAGGCTCTGTATGCAACTTGAAGCTCTGTCTCTCCGGTTCTTTTTCCTGAAAAGAGATCACTCAGGACAAACTCTTTAAATAACATTTCATTACTTATATGCATTAAATAACCAGGAGAACTGACAACAGATTCTGATAGAAAATGTAATAATACTCAGATCAGAGAAGTTGCTTAGAGTTACAGAAGGCAGCTGCTCATCTCTGGGCTCACCTCTCAGGAAGTGGCCCCTATTATCAGTTAAAAAGGCATTTTATAAATCCCCAGTCTGCCACATCATCACATTTTACATCAGACACGTTAGCAGATGATTAGACATCCATGGCTCCAGCATTATCAGAATACTAAACTTTGTTCTTAGTTGAAGTACACCACTCTCATTTCATTCCCAAATCTTTTCCTAATATCTTTTTCTAATATTAAAGTGTAATAAACTCACACATCATCAATGATAATTATTCTAAAAGTTTGTTGATTCATTTATTCTTGTTTGTCAAATTGTCTCTTTAAAATTGCCTGAAATAATTTCCTATTTATTCGTTCATATGTGGGAACTTTGGGTTAAATTAGGTGATCTCTATGCATCTAAAACATTGTAACAATATTTGGAGAAAATGTGATTGAATTTTAATAATTTTTTTTTCTACATCCTTAAAAAAAAAAAAAAAAAAAAACTCAATGCATGAATATTCACACTTTGAGATTGTGATGTATTTTATGGAAGAGGATTAGGGCCACTGAAAAAATAAAAAAAAGTTTAAATGTTATTTCAGTTTAATATAGTAAAAAAGTCAAAATTCTGACATTAATATGACTTATTTTCACACAATTCATACTTTAATCTCAGAATTTTGGATCTTAATGTAGATGGGCACCATGAAGGCAGAGATGTGGGAGCATTCAGCTTCACTGACAAAAATGTGAGTTGTTTGGGAGGGCCAGTAACACGTTGGTGGAAAATTAAGGAATTAGGCAAGTTTTTACATGCCTGAGGGGTCCCCGGTGATGCTATTTCATTAATGGAAGAGCAGAAGGTGATTAAAACAAGAGAAAGTTTAGTCTCTAAAACAGACATGGCTATGGCTTGATAATAACATGTTTGTTAGCTGTCAGAATTCAGTCAGAAGTCTGAAAAAAGGTTAGAATTCTGAGAAAAAAGTCAAAATTCTGAGAATAAAGTCAGAATTCTGAGATTAAAGTCAGAATTCCGAGAAAAAAAGTCAGAATTCTGAGGAAAAAAGTCAGAATTCTGAGATTAAAGTCAGAATTCTGAGGAAAAAAGTCAGAATTCTGAGATTAAAGTCAGAATTCTGAGAAAAAAAGTCAGAATTCTGAGATTAAAGTCAGAATTCTGAGATTAAAATCAGAATTCCGAGAATAAAGTCAGAATGACTTTTTTCTCATATTAAACTGAAATAATATTTAAAACTTAGTTAACCTTTTTTATATTTTCAGTGGCCCTAATCTTCTTCCGTAGTTTTTAGATATATAAATGCAGTAATTTAGTTTCACAGCAAACAGTGAAAGTGAGAAAGAGCGAGAGAGAGAGAGAGGGGGAGGGAGGGATGGGAGGAGACAGATTATGGAAATCAAAGTAAATAGATGCAACAGAAAATGGAGAGAGGGTAAATAAAACGGACTCCGGGTCTGAAAGCAGCCGCTGATGAAACTCTCCAGAGTGCGAGCAGCGGCAGCTCCTCCTGTTCCTCCTCCTGCTGGTTTTTAACCACCCATCCGAGCTTCCTCCTCTCCATGCCGGCGGAGGTCTCCGCGGGGCGGCCATGGCGAAGATCCGGGTGTCGTACGAGTACTCCGAGGCTGAGGACAAGAGCATCCGGCTGGGTTTGTTCCTGATCGCCTGCGGGATCCTCAGCCTCTTCATCCTGGGCTTCTGCTGGCTCAGCCCGACGCTGCAGAGCCTGCAGAGCAAACCGGCCAACTGCACGGTGAGACACATGCAACCACTTTTAGGATTTCTGTTTCATTTACAAGCTTTCAATAAACTTTATCAGTAGATGTCATAGTGCACTTTTTAAGAAAACATATCTGTGACTTTTGGAGAAAGTAATAGAACAAGTCTTTATACTCTGATTCTGGGTGTTTAAAAAGGTATTTGCAGATCTTTTGCAGCAGGTGGCTTTTTGCATTCATTTCAACTGCTTGGTGAATAAACCTTAACTGCATGAATCATAAAATCTTTAAGGAGAACTTTGTATGTTGGTGTAACATTAGTTCTTCAGGCTGTATTACTGAGGGAACTTCACTGTATTTACTGCAACAGCTTAATATTTATTTACATTCTCCTTGCACCAGTTTGGACCGCTCTTTGCTTTCAGGACTTCCTTCATGCTTTGTGGAGAATGTTTTAGCAAGGTGTTAGAAACGTTCCTCTGAGGTTTTTGGTCCACATCGATGTGGCAGCATCTGTCCAGCCATACAAACATGAAGTGAATCTCCTTGCACAAAGTCTCTCTGGTGACTTTGAAGGCTAACGGATTAAGTCATGTCGATCCATCCATTTTCCATCCGCTTATCCGAAGCAGGGTGGCGAGGGGTGCTGGTGCCTTTCTCCTGCTGTCTATGGCGAGAGGCGGGGTCCACCCTGGACAGGTCACCAGTCCGTCACAGGGCAACACAGAGACAACCATTTACACACACCTAAGGAGAATTTAAAGATGTCAATTACCCTAACCGTCTTGTTTTTGGAGTACCCAGAGTACCCAGAGAGAACCTATGCTACTCAGGGAGAACATGCAGAAAGAGCCAGGCCAGGAATCCGACCTGGATAGTCTTGCTGCAAGGCGGCAGTGCTACACACTGCTCCACTGAGCAGTCCCTAAACTCATGTTTAAAAAAACATATTTGGAGATACTTGAGCATAATGACATGGTGCATTATCTTGTACATTTAGAGCTGCTATTTAGCAGGTTTTAGCTGCACTGGTTCTCCTAACATGGATCAAACAGCTGAATCCCTTCATCAGCATCATTCAGCTCTGCAGAGCCTGTTTGATTCTGGTGTGTTTGGGAAGTGGTGCGTCTAAAAGCTGGGCCCACACCATTATACCACCACCAGCAGCCCAAATTATTCTGTAGCTACCAATGTCACAGAGACCTATTCAAGTTTAAGCCGCTCTCATATTGTCCATTTCTTGTTCAGCCTGTCTGTACAGCAGCCCCAGTTTCCTGTTTTAGATCACACGTTTGGAGCTCTGCATGCTTATCCTCCTGCTGTGGCGCATCTCAGACCACTCTGCCCGTTTTCATCTGATCTCTTCACACCAACGAAAGGATCTGATCCATTCCAGTCGCTCTGTGATGACCAGCAACATGTTAACATGGATCCCAACCGATACCTGAATCCCAAATGAATGCTGTGGTGATCAGATGTTGCAGAGTAAAGTGATGGTGATAAGTGTGACGGGATTAATCTGATCCGACAGGATCTCTAACACTGAGCTGTGGGCTATCGTCCAGGGAAGCTCAGACTACAGCTGGAGTCACACTGAGCGCCTGGTTTAAAGTTCTTTAATTAGATTCATTAACTTCATTTTAGTTTTTTTGCTTTTTCACTCAAATCAATTTTTTTTCCAATAATCAGGCCTACTTACATATGATTCAGCTCAATTCTAACGATGTTACAGTACAATCAACCTCTGTTGGTGATATAATAGCAGTCTGTAAACGGGACTGCAGCCACAGAAGCCCTGATTGTGTCGAATCATCGACTTCAGCTGTGGCAAAGTGGGAGGACGAGTTACCTTACAATCTGGAGGTCGAGGGTCAAGTGAAACTAGAATCATGCTCTAAGAATCCAGTTTCTTTAACATTTAAAACTGACAATTTAACCATTTACAAGGAGATTGGATTTTTCCGGTTCTTAGTGAGTCACTTTAAACTGCGCACTGCATATAATCAGGTTATGTATCTTGACAAATAAATGCATGTTGCTCAAACATTTCTGGAAGGGTTTAGCCTGTTATTGTACATTGAGACACTATTGTTCCCTTTTCCGTTGTGTCTTCTCTTCCAGAGTTGTCCAGTAACTTAGGTGCTGTATTTAAGTAGCTTTTTTCTGTATTGGTACCTGAGTATTTACTTTTATTCTACATTTAAACACAAATATCTATACTTCCTATTCCTTACTTCAATCTGAAAAACTCACACAAAGAGAAAAGACAATTAGAAGAAATTCGGCAGGAAACATAGCATTTAATTTTGATAGATATGCATGAACAGGAGCAAAGAATATGGCTGTTTCCCCCCAGGCCTGAAACTTGTGGTGGAGTGGAGATGAAGTTGGTCAGTCTGTAGACTGCTGGTTAGTGAGACGGTCTGCTGAGCTTTATGGGGAGATCCAGTGGACTGGAGATGATACTAGAGCTTCACTCAGGTACGTGGAAGATGGAAGTCTAGCTTGGATAACACAAGTTGAGAGAACCTGTCCATGATGAGCAAGCATGAAGCGACAGTGGAGAGGAAAAACTCCCCATTGGGAAGAAACCTCTGGCAGAGCCAGGTTCAACATGGCGGTCTTCTGCCGGACCGGTTGAAATGAGAAGCGGAATGCAGGAAGAATGACACACTCATGAAGTTTTAGCTTCGATGGTGGAGGAGGGGCTGGAGGTGGGTTAAACAGGGTCATCTGAATGAAGTCACACAGTGCATCCACTGCCTGCGCACTAGATAGTATAAGAGTTGCGGATCAGAGGCCTTTTATTTTATTTTTTGCTTTTTTTGTTTTTGTTTTACAATCTCCTGTCTGGCAATGTGGCAATAACAATAATTGCTTAATGCCAAAAAGAGCCCAACAGATTTTACTTTCACAAGTGGAGCAGTACGGCTATTGCCATAGTGTTCCGCCTGATTTATGCATATAAATAGCTTTATTATAATTATGCAGGGAGTTTTACAGATTATATAGACAATGCAATGTAAGTAGAACAGGAAAGGAAAAACAGGAAAAAGGAGAAAAGATGAAAGAAAGAGGAGATAAAAGGGAGATAACGATAAAACATCTTCAGTCTGCTTGAGCACCTGCAAAGAGATGTAAAAAGAACACCTAGATACTATCGCTGAAGTATAAGTAGTAATTATTTAATCTGACATGTATTCTGTGTTACCTGAAGATAAGAATATGGGCTTTCTGTATTGAAGTGGATCAGAGGCGTTTTAAATTAATTTTGGATGCTGATTGGCTTACATGGAGCTGTGGTTCAAAGCTGATTGGCTGTGTCACAGGTGGATGTAGGAGAGCAATCAGTTTCTTCAGTTGAACTTCTGCTTAGGCTCCATTTTTATCCAAATGGGCCTCTTACTTCTATACCTGTTAATAATGACAAAGTGTTACAGCTACAACAAAAAAAGGGAAAATGTTGGCAGGGGAATGGTGGCCTAGTTGTTTGGGCAAAGAGCTTGGAATCCTGAGGTTGTAAGTTCAAAACCCACTCGCACAGACTGGACGTCTGTGTCTTCAGCAGGCGTAGAGTTAACAGAACTGGCAGCGTTGTGAGGCAAGGGCTCAAACATGTACGGCTGGAAGCCTTCTACACCAAACCAAGCTTCTGCCGCCCTGGCGTCCTCTTCCATAACATCTTCATCCCCGCTTTCCTCCTCTAAATAAAAAATGTATGATGGAGGAGACTCATCCACGACCTCCGACACTAAACTCTCCTCCTCTTGCATGTTTCCTCTGTCCATAGCGTTCCTTGACAGTGTCGTTTCTAAGTCACCAATTTAGTGCTACTTGGTCCCAATGGAATTTCCCATTGGGAACCTACTAGCACTAAGTTGCTAACTGGTTAGCAAGATGCTTCAGACATATTGGCTACAATCAAACTTGCTTGTGAACCTTCCACCACAACAATCCTGCCCCCTTGATAACCGACCAATCACATTCACTTTATTTGTTCGTGTAAAGTTGTACACCACTCAGGAGAATTCAGAAATGCAACTGTTGGAACAGCTGCTTCCCTACGACGTAGAAACACGGCAGTTCCAACCGTTAAGTTAAATTTGCTCTTTTACTTTAACCATTCTTTTTTATCTGCACTTTTACATCAGTAAATAATGTGATTACTTTGACTCCTCTGTTTACTGCTAAGATTTCAAACCATTATGTTTGCATCATCTTTAGATAAGTAATGCACTCAAACTTTATTAGATAATGTCAGAAGCAACCAAGTTAATTTGCTCTTTTTTCACTGATCTCAGCTGTGCTGGTATTTCCTGTAAATTACACACCTGGAAAAAGTTGTTGGTTCACATCATTTAATGAAAGAAAAACCCACAATAATCACAGAAATACCTTTAATCTGACAAAACATATAAATAACAATGAACAAATGAAGGTCAGGCATTCAACAGAATTATTAAAAAAATAAACTCATGAAAGTTCAAGTTAAAATTGAAATAAATCATGTTTAATGCTCAACATCAGTCTTGTTGGAAACATCTGTGTTGGAAAAATAAACAGATTTTCCAATTCTGAATAGATTCTCATTTTAATTTGTAAAGATTTATTCACAGAACTAAAGATTGATTTCTTAAAAATGTATTTCACCATCCTCACAATCGGAATTAATTATCATGAATTTATTAATTTACTGTGGAATAATAGTATAATACTAGCATCAGTATGTTGCATAACTACAGTCTTGTGATTCAGGTAACACCTATAAAATGATTTTAAATATCAGCCATCCGATTTTAGATTAAACTGAATCGAAAAGAATTGTTTCTAAAATCTGAAGTCTGAATTGAATCAACTTTTTTGAGCCCTATTCTGAATTAATCTCCAGACATCTTTGCTTAAAGTCGTTTTATTAACTATAATAAAATAATTGGTATGTCAGACAATCGTATTAGTAACTGTTCATATTGCATCATATACCTTTACAGTTTGCTTTAAATCCCTGAAAATATAGTCAGATCTCCCACCATGTCTTAAAGTTGATCTATTTCTGTATTGGTTTCCATAGAAACGTTAATTGCTGCAGGTTTTGCTTACAATGATTTACAGGTCTTTTAATCTAATCACATTTCTGGCAGAGTGTATTTTTGAGTTAACATGTGGCCATATTTTGGACTAGGGTCAAAGATGCACTCCAGTGTTTGCTGCCTGCTTTTGCGTTCGGTCGCATTCATCTGCTGTTGAGACAGTTTCTCTGCAGACTTCCATTTTGGCAGCAGTAACTCAAACAAACTGAGGAAAGTGATTAAAGGAGGCCAATTCTTTTTGGGAAAGCTGTTCCAGAGTCCAGAGATCTACTCTAAACAGAGAAATGATGCTCAAGCTGACAAGCAAAATAGAGACACATCAGTACCAGTGTGAGCGTGTGATTGTTTTTAAGTCATAAAAGCTTCGTTTTCATCCATTAATTATAACTGTGCTCTAAATAGTTACTGGACTGGGACTGAAGCAGTTAATTTGATTTATCATAGTTAATCAAGCTACTAAAACAATCAACTAATAAAGTGGTCAAATAATTGTTAGCTGGAGTTTACAGACAATAAAACATTTACTAAATAAACAATCCTCTTAAGAAAGATACTAAGCAAAAGGTGCATAATAAATGCATACATTTTGTTATTCTTTATAACAGTTAATGTGCAAGATCTATAATAAAAAGAATAGAGACAAATTAAAGCAAGCAATGTAAAAACATGTAATAATAAAAAAATAGTCCAAAAAATGCTCCACCTGGAAATAAGTAAGTCTAACTTGAAGTCAAGCTCTGAACACTTTTGGTAGTACTTAAATTACAGATTCTATGTAGACCTAATCTTAAAACTTGGGTAATTTCAACTTTAAAGAATCCAGACTTTAGGGACTGCTAAAAAAAAGCCACTGAGCATTAAAGGTTGATGATTGAGATGCTGTTTGCTCACCTGGAGACCATCTCACCCATCAGTTTTGAAAGAATAAATATTCTACAAAAGTTGCACAGTCAACCCTAAAACATTTTTTTTCTAATTTAGTTATTTTAATCTTTTTGGTTGTCAATAAAAATTGGATTAGTCCGGCTTCAGAGATACTGTGGCATTTCAAAGCCTCTGGGAATATATGCATGAAATAAATTACAGGCTTCTATACGCCATGTGCGACGGATGATGGATTTCTTCCAAGCTGATTTATTTGACTGTTAGCTTATTGCATCATTTTAGAGGGTTATTTTTTTCCCTCTAAATTTTGCAGTCCCTGGTCATGTGGGACAGAAAGCTAGTCCAGTCTGCCGTTAACGAATCTGTGGCTTAATAAGGCATAAATCAAAATACTTGAGTTTAATGCAGCTGCCTGGCCTCTTGAGTGAAGACCGTCTGACTTTTATTAAATCAGATTAGATTGATGGTGTCGTCTCCCATGTGTTGTTTATTCATCCGTCTCATCGTACCAGACCAGTAATGAGAGGTCATCACTCCTTTACCATTACTGACATGCAGATTATTCAGGAATCATCTCCTTAATAGTCCAGTTCACACTTTTTTTATACATTTAGACATTGGTTTCTATGGGGTGCTGATGAGCAATTGGTTTCTATCCTTCTTGGTTACTATGACAAAATGTGATTCTCCTTTTTAAAGAAAAGAAAAAATGTGTTTGAGTTTGGTGTTGGTCTTATTGGCTGTCCAGTATTGATTGATAGATACATACTACAGAGGGTAAATGTCAGCAGTAACAAAAGACATAAATATGGAACCGGCTCTGACAAGACAGATTAATGTTTGTGCAAAAGGTCCCTAAATGAGGCTCCCCTGGCGACCAGAACAGGGTTATTTTACAAACTGATGTTGCTTTCTGGGTGTTCAGGGTCCTTAAAAAAATGTAAAAAAAAAAAAAGGGATTAAATGGTTTGTTATGGGAAGGAACAAACTATTTAGTGGGGAAATGGCGACCTAGTTGTTGGGGCATTGCACTTCGATCCCAGAGGTTCTGAGTTCAAGCCCCACTCCCACGGACTGCCACTCTAGGTCTCTGAGCAAGACCCTTAACCCCACACTGCTCCCCGGGCACCGCACAATGGCAGCCCACTGCTCCCCAAGAGGATGGCTTAAATGCAGAGAGGGAATTTTGTTGCTTTGTAGTTTGGACAAGGAACTGACAATAAAGTTGAATTCTATTCTAACCATAAAAGTTTATGGGGAATTACCTTGTGTGTTCTTGAAACAAAATTCTGTAGGTTCCAGTAAATTAAGTTGTAAGCTCTGGGTAAGAAGCTCTTCAAGTTTCACTAAGTTAACTTGTAAGATATTATGAAGAAGAGCCTTCCTGAACTTCCAGAGAATTAACTTGTAAGTTCTTGAAAATTAAACTGTAAGTTTCGATAAAGAACGTTGGAGGTTCTAACTTGTAATTTCTTTGAAAGAACTTGTAGGTTTTGATAAAGAACCTTGTAAGTCCAAAGAATTCCCTTTCAAGTTCAGTTTAAGAACCTTGGAGGTTCCAGAATATTGACTTGTAGGCTCTAAAAATGACCCTGTAAGTTCTAGAACATTAACTGTTAAGTTCTGCCAAAGTTTTTTAGAAGCTCCTGAGAATTAACTTGTAAGTTATGGGAAATAAGCCCTGAAGTTTCAGTAAATTAACCTGCAAGGTCTGCTAATGAGTCCTGTAAGGCCCAAAATATTAACTTGAAAGTTCTAATAAGGTACCTTGGAAGATCTGGAGAATAACTGGTTAGTTTTGGGAAGGATTCCTGGTAGCTCGAGATGATCAACTTGTATGTTCTGGTAATTAACCCTACAAATTAAAAAAATATTTATTTCTAAGTTAATGAGAAAAAATTCTGCAAATTTTAGCAAATTAACTTTTAAGTTCTGGAAAGAACCTTCAATGTTCCACAGAATTGATTTGTAAGTTCTGGAACTTCAGATTTTAGTAAATTATATAGTTTCGTTCTGAGAAATAACCCTGAAGGTTTAGAGATTTAACTGGTAAGTTAAGGAGAGAACCCAGTAAGGTTCATTAAACTAGTGGCACAAACGAACAAAAATAAAAACTGTTGCTTTGTATTTGGGTTAGGAGATCGACTGTTGGTCCTTCTGCTCATCGTCTGTCGTCCTTTTCAGGTGGTGTCTGTGTTGCGTCCTGAGGAGATGTTTGAGTGTGTTTTTACATGCGGCACCGACTGTAAGGGGACCTCGCTCTATCCCTGCCTGCAGATCTTTGTCAACAACTCCGAGTCCAACTCAGTGGCGCTGCTCCACTTCGACGAACAGCAGCTGGTCCTCAACCCAAAGGTAAACAACCGCTTTACTGTTTCACTGTGATTGGATATCAGCATTGGGGTAGTTAATACAGCAGAAAGATGAAGTTTTCTTAAATGTAGAGATTTCTCATTCACGACCACAATAAGGTGAATCTTAGTGCCTCAGAATCAAATATTGAAATCCTTCTGTTCATACAGTTTATTAGACCTTTATTTAACCAGCTAAATTCACTTTAGTGTTTTAAAGGAAAAGTTCAGTCATATTCAGAATTCAAACTTCTGAAAGTACTTTAAATATGAAATTATTAAATACTGTTCAATAAATGATCATAAATCATCCCTGAGGCAGTAGATACATACATGTGAATGTCCTATATAATAAAGAAATGTAACATCTATGTCTGTATTACATGATTCCAATGTATATAAAAATACAATTTTAAAAAGTACAACTAAACAAACATTCTATCAAATAAATTAAGAAAATCATTTCAAATTATGATTAGAAAAGTTAAATATGAACTGAAAAAAATAAGAGAAAAATAATTATACTTATTTCTCAAGATTTTCTCAGATTTTTGTGTTGTTTTTTGGGGTCAGGCTGAAATATTTGAATAAGCTAGCTTAGCGTTAGCCATCACGTTACCCAAATGCAGTAATGACATAAAATTTATCATAGAGACACTTAAAATTGATTTTAATGCCAAGATATCATGGTTTGAAGAATTAACCAGTTACCTCTGTAATTTACTCTAAGATATCTGCCTGCCAATATTATTGGTTTATAGAAACACTTTGCTTCTATCCGCTTTTGTTTAAAGTTTACGTAAATCTTTTGGGGAAATAAGAAATAGGTCAGTTGTTCTCATACCTGATGTTAAGTATTGTTCTCTATTGGAGAAATATGACTTGATGAAAACCCTCCAATCGTTCCGCACTTCAGGAACCATCTTTTAAAGGAAAGGTCCGGTCATATTCAGATTTCAAACTTCTGAAAATACTTTAAATATGAAATTATTACATACTGTTCAATAAATTAGAAATGATTTTAATTAAGAGTTATTTTCATTTGAATTTGGGCATCCATGTTTGTCAGAGAACACTACTGCCACCTACTGGTTGGTGACGTCACGGTGCGGTATCGGCTGTTGATCAAGTCCCAGTGCTGTATCTGGTGTTTGTCACAACACGTTATTATCCAAGTCACCTTGAAAACATTCTTCTTCCAAACTTTGGCTACATATTACGTGTTTTTTCTCTGGCCAGAAGTTCGATGGCAAATCCTCCCTCTTCAAGTTGGCGATCCAACGACCAACCCGTAGATCATGAATCATGGTCATTTTTATCCAGCGTATTACAACATCGAACTGCCATGGCATTGTCAGTGTAGGATGCTGCCCCCAATCAAGGATGAGGCTTCACTGATGGTTTTATGGATTTTTAATTCCTTTAGAGTCATATTCCATAAGCTGTAGTCTTTAAATCCACATATCACCGCAGTAAGCGCTGAAACACATAACATTTATACAGCTTATCATTTCACATTAAACCATTTTAAATGCTTCAACTTGTGCAAAAATAACCACTTGCAAATGCTATTATACAAATGAATAACACACTTTTTGCCTCTTCGTAGGGGCTGCCAGGACTATATTCAATGATACCGTAGCTCCGCGTCTAATCCAATGTCGTACGTATGAAAAAAACATGCTAACCGCCACTACATTGCACGGGACCAGAAACACAAAAGCTTAACAAAATAAAAGCACTTAGCTCAAACCGGAAGTTGTTGACACTGTGAAAGAAAAAGTGTGTACAAAACAAATGAAACAGAACTCAACTTCATTTGCTGCAAAAAGAAAAAGGTAATGGTTATTTACAGTCAGTTTAACTTTGGCTCTGGTGAATTTCAATGGTGATGTGTCTATTGGTTCCCATTGATTCTGCTTGTAAAGCGGGGAGAATGGCGCTAGACTTACCGCACCGTGACATCACTGCCCAAAGATGTCAGGAGAGGTGTTACTATATTTGGCCGGTCCTGGACTCAGTGATCGCAATGGCAAAAAATATTTTTAGTGATTGACGATAAATTTATTAAATCACCGGAAACTTATTACTTTTAGGTTTAAATAATGATCCATTGATCTTTCCTTGCTGACTTTTCCTTTAACTCCACCACTGTAAGGCGTTATCACATATATAGTTTATTTTTTAATAAAATTAGTGTGTTTATCTGTGATGTTTTACAGCTCTCTGAAGGATACTGTATACAATCACAGTTTTATTTTCTTTTTTTGCTCAAACTGATTCAGCACAGATGGAAACAACACATTTCTATGCCCAGAATAAAGACATTAGCACCACTGAAAACTGTTGGCATGACTTGAGCTGGTTTCAAATTAACATCAAAACAGGAGAGTTTGAAGAAGCACAGACCTGAAATGAAAAAAGATGTGATTGAGAGTGACGATGACTGAAGGATGGAGATAAAAATGGAAGCACAGCTGCAGCCATGGCAGCTACATGTGCTGTTATTTACTTCTGATCCTTAAGTCTGCCAGGAGTGTTTGTCGGATTGGTTTTTGGATTGCAGCCATTTAAATCTATTTCTGTTCAGCGCAGGACTTCTTGGAGAAACAAAACCCTCATCGACCTTAACAAACGGCTGATGGGGAAACGTCACAGCTCCGACTTGTTCCGCACTGACTTACCGTAATAGAAGCTCTGAGTTTGTTCAGGCTTGTGAAATGTGGGCCTTTATGATCAGGGATTAGAAGAGCAGATGCTCCGTTTAAAGCAACAGATGCGTCACTTTGATGCATGGCAACACAGCTTCACAAAGTAACCAAGGTTTATCCGGAGTATCTGAAATTTTTCTGATACAACAATCTTTTCTAAGAAATCCAGACTCATTTAGGGCAGGAACGACTTATCTGTCCCTGTTAGGAGAAAACTAAAATCCCTTCATTGGAGCTCTGATGGAACACAAGGAGTCAAAAAAAGAAATGCTACCCTCTCTTCTGCTCAGAAAAGAAAACTGAGTCACAGTTCAATGAGTTTCAGCTCTATCTGGAACATTTGGGTCAAAATTTGGCAAAAGCATAAAACCTTGGATCCATTCTTTCTCGTAATCGTGCTCCACTGGCTTTAAAGGCATCATGTAAAACTCAGTGATGTTACTGACCAAGCATGCTATAATTTCTAGATCCTTGTTTTTTTTTTTTATTCAGGTTCTGTTCCCGCCATCATTAAAAAGTTACCTTCTAATAACAGAAGAGAATTAATCCTATAAAGTCTGAGATATTATTTCCACCTGATTAATGAGATCTTTCCTCTAAGGCAGAGGTCACGTATCAGGACCCACCTGCTGGCTAATCCGGACCCAACCTGATTTAAAACATTTTTAAGTTACCGCATGTTGTCTATCTTCACTTGCATCACTCTGGATCCAGGATCCAATATGGATCCAGGCTCAAAATGAGCACCTTGATATGTGCTTGAGAATAGCTTTGTCTCCATTCAAACTCAGGTTTAAAGCCTTGCAGGGCAGCATAAAGCTCACTGCGAACATTAAGACAGAAAAAAGAAAGAAAAAAACAGTAAGTTCAGGTGTTTTATGAAATATGTGAATCAGGAAATTGTCTATATACCAAACTGAACGATTGTTGTCCTCTACTTCAAAAACACTTTAGATTTTTAAATGGAAAAATGTTTTTTTTGTTTTTTATATTTTTTTTTATTCAAAAAGTCAATGTATAACATGGATGCATAAACATCTCCTTTTATTTCAATGTTAAATTCTGTTTAAAGTAACAGATTTATGATTAAAAATGTCTCCGGACCTTTACTGGTTGTTGATTTTCTTTATTCGGACCGCGCTGATTTTTAATGGTTACCCCTCCTTTGAACCCTCCAGAAGCCGGCCAGCCTCCCATCTTCTCTTGAGTTTTAGGCCAAAATATTAAACCAGCTCTACATTAACTCAGAAGTTCACTCCCCTTCAACCTTAGCGCTCGCCTGGGCTGTCACTACAGCAACCGAGTAAATATAGAGGGGAGAGATGGCGCTCAGTCACCATGGTGACTGATGATGAGGAGATGAGGAGGGAGGGAGGGGAGTCACGCTCCATTCAGGAATCCTTTAATGTCTCGCACAGGGAGAGGATTGAAACTGGAAAAGATGGATGCCACGCTGCGTTCAGATAGGAAACCTCTATTGCTCCGCCCACTTAAAGACCTGAATTACACTGGAGACGTCATCATAACCAGCAGGTTACCCTTAGGGACTACGCTCCATTAATCTTCAACCAATCACTTAGTGAAGTAAACAAAAACAGAAGCACAGCATTAAAAATGTAGAGAAAAAATCTTTATACGACATGAAGCTGAGATTGTTCAAAGGAACAGAAGCAGTTTTGACAGTTTGTCACTCATTCCCATTAAAAAAAAAACATCCTGAAAAAGGTTTAATTAATGTTGCCAGTTTCTCCATAGTTTTTCAGATATATGAGAAAAATAATAATTTATTTGTTTAGAGCAATAAGTGTTGAGCGTCAAGCAGCCAATCAGCTAGATGTAAATCTGGAGAGGTTTGTATGTTGGCTACCAGCATCCTATAAGTGACTCTATGAAAAAAAATAGGAAATCGAAATAATTTTTCACTCTTTCACCTTCTGCTCTTCCATAAACAAAACTGACTCTTCAGGGACTCATCAAGGTTGGAAAATGTATTAAGAACTGTCGTTTTTTTATGATTTCTATGTTAATCTTTAGAAACAATTCACTGGGACGTGATCTGTTTAGTCCATCTAAACCAGAGAACGGTCCCTGCTGCTCTCCTCCTCTCCTCAGCTCATCCCACTGAAGGATTTAAGTTTGATCAGATGGATTTTTGTGTCTGATGATTCTGGGTTAAATGCATGTTTTTGGATCTTAATCCTTCTGGATCAGTTTTCCAGCTAAAACCATCAAATTTTAATTTAGAGTATTTTAGGTGTTTCTAAGAGTTCCTGATACCATGTGAGATTCCCAG